TGGTGATGGCTTCATAAACAAACTGTAAGAGACAGGATGAGTAGCTAGGATGAGTAAGTTCAAAGACTGAATTTATTCCATCTCTACCTATTAATTAAAGCACATTAGGGGAGGGTTGTATTAGGGAATAGATATTGCTGGTGATTGTATATATCCTTTTTCTTTTGTGGGTTGAGTGCTATGTTTCCCAGAGTTGTCAGTGTTTCTTTGAGTGTTCCATTATGACGTTGAAGATAAATGATTGAATAAATCAGAACATCATGTAGAACAAACAGAAAAACCCAAGCATGATACTAGTTTGTATTGGCTTCTGTAGCAGAAAAGATTCTGTAAGAAGTTTTCCTTCAACACCTCCTCTTCTGGGAGCCTGCGTTAGGGGAGCAGGGTGTCCATGGTGTGCTTTTTGTGGTTTTGTTTTGCACTTTCACTCCTTAGAGCACAGGGTTGATAGAAACAGAAATCTAAGTAATCTAATAAATACACTTCTCTGTGGGTCACGATATGAAACCTTCAGAGTCTGAATAAGTGTTTTGCACTTTGTTTGTTTATTTATTTTTGCTAGCAACTTCATCCTTTAGGATCTTCTTGCAGAAGATCTTGTAGGTCTTCTTGTAAGTGGTCTCACTCAAGTGTTACATAAGATAAGCAAGAGAACTGTGGTAGTGGTGTGGGAGAGAGAAGTGAAAGGAATGAAGATACCACAATATAGTTGTTCCTGTAGCTCATTCCGGATGTAAATATACATGACAAAATCCTCACACTGTTAGGTAGAGTGGATTTGCTAGCTGCTAAAAGGTCCAGCGTCAAGTCTTGCTGGTAATTGAATGGGTGGGTTTGGGTGGGCTGGATATTCTGGGCCACAGGGGAGTTGTGAGTGAAGGGGGATCCATTCAGCAAAACACAATTGGGTGATTTTCTCCAGCTTCACAGAACTTAATGTTGCCTTGAGTTTCCATACAAACCTGCTTGCAATTTTTTACATCATTTTGCCAAGAGCAGAGATTGTTTGCTTTTGTTGCTGTAGCTTCTAAAATACGGAATTATGAGCGTGCTGTAAATGCTTGCCCAGTGCCATTGCTCCTGTGAGGAACAAAACATACTATATGGGCAGGTTATGTTATATTATTGTAGGACCCAAATTGCTCTTTTTACGTGAAGATCTGTGGGAAATGTGCTTTCTGTGAGCTGTTGTACAAGTGTGGTGTACTGAGAGACGCATTCCATTTCATGGCCATGGTTAATATGTAATTGGTGATAATAGATGTAAGTTTCTGGTGAAGTTAATGGGAATGAGCCTCGGCTTGCAGCTGGGCCCCTACTTTGCTGTCCTTCTCTGTGGCCTGGTTACCTTCCCATAAACTTGGTTCTGCCCGCAACCTTAGGCAGCAACTTTTTTGTTGTCTGCATTATGGTAGTCAGTGACCCTACATTTTCCACAGCATCTGTTCAAACCTATACACGGGGTGGCTTACTTGGTAGCACCCGACATAGATGAGTGTTTCCCCAGTCCAGTGCTTTCTGGCTCTTTATCCATATATTCTATCCCACATCTATCTTTTTATCCCTACATGATGGTCCCATACTTACACCTCTGTTAGGCAGTACCCACCCTGTGTTCCATGGAGTTGCTATGTGTCCTGGTGGGCAGATGCTGGCGAATAGGAATACATTGCATAGGAGTAAATTGGTACTGGTCAGTTGGCTGGTTCTTGCTTACCTCCTGGTGAAGCACTGACATCTGACAGCTGGGCCATGAATAAAATACCCTGTTCAAATATGAGGTGAAGTATGTTTGTTGTCTTTTTTTTCCCTCCCTCCCAAACAGTTTTTCTGGAAGAAATTTATCCTTAAGATATTAGAGTTCTGAGGTGGTTCCAGCATTCTACCAACCTGGAAGAGCGTGCGTGGCCTGCTGCATGGCTGAAGATGCTGTATCAGGATCCAAACTTACCCAAAGCACTGCAGAGGAAAAGAGGTGCACAGTGCAAGCTCTCTTCACTCACCCATCCCTTTGCATTGTTGAATGTTGTTATGCTGGAAGAGCTACCTTTCAGGTCATCCTGGTTATTAGCACAAGCTAATAGGTGCAATCATTATTATCATGTGTTGAGAACTCTGCTCCTGTGGGGGTGGGGGAAGAATATAATTGGGATGTCTACTTAGGGGATGTAGGCTGTTGTGCAGCTTGTCAAGACTTGCTCTGAGAGCCATTTTGTCAGCATTTGATCTACATATCATCTGTTATTTCTGCTTTACAAGAATAATTACTGGCTGTTACCTTCAGTACAAAATGCATTATTACCACCTATGCAGACGTGAAGTGAGATACAAACCTGCAGTCTACTCTCAATTGTACAGAAAATGTGGAAAAGTCTTTAGGTTAGCCTTGACACTGTATTTTGATTGTGAATTACTGAAAGCTTTGCATTTCTTCACAGTTATGTTGTATTAAAAGAAAAATCAATGTTACGGTCTGACTCTTTTGAGAGTGATTTGCTGTAACTGGCTTTTCATGTATGCTTGGAAGCATTACCTCATGCAGTGAAGTATGTATATAAGAAGAAAAAGATAAAATGTTGAAGTTTAAACAATCTAGCAATGACTACGGTGGGCTGTACTCTGTGGTTCTTCTCCTAATAACATTAATTATTGCAAAGTTTTATCTTGAGTATGATTTGCTAGTGTTCTATATATCCAGCTCAAGCAGTGCTCCCCTTCATGAGAAAGAGAGGAAATTACTTTCATTGATCCCGTTCATTCTCCCACTTTCCATTACACTTGTACAAAAACTTTAGAAATCAATCGGATCAGTCTTCCGTGCTCAGCTTCCATGAATTTTGAGACTGTTGCTTGGATGCATGGTATCCTTGACTGTAGTTTTCAGTCTTTGATTCAGGATTGGAAGATAGACTTCTCCAACCACGTTGTTCAGCTGCAAAAGCATTTGCTGAGCTATTGCTTTTGGTCTGCCAGACTTTGGCTGAGGAGAAGAATCGAATGACCTCTGCCCCTGCTAGTATGTCTGTATTTCTTTTTATACAGGGAAGCAGTAGCTTTACCTATTAAAAAGAAAAGGCCACAGGAAAGTCTGGTAAGAGAAGGAAAATTTAAAAGGGTATATTTAGGACTCATTGCAGTACAGTAACAAAAGAAGAAAAGTGGCACAGTACTCAGAAGGAAGAGGAGTTGATTTCTTTTTTAAATCAAATTTTATTATAATTAATTGCGAGGAAAAATAAAATATGAAACAGAACCAGTGATATGATTCAGCTGGTCTTTTTTTCTTCCTTGTTGCATGTAGGCAGCTTCCAGTTAGAAGTAGAAATTTCCAATGGAAATTATTGTATGTGTGAGGAATTTTATTAATAATGCCAGTTTGCTGCTAAGATCAATTGGGTCTTATGTGGACACAGCACTGCACTTGTATGCTTCTAGCAGGTAATGTACTGAGTATTTTCAAGCACAGTTTTATGTCAGATAAGAGTACTTTTCTGAGGAACAGCGTGGTTGACAGATAAGTGGGACGTCATGCTTGAACTGTCCTCCTCTCCCTCCATCTCTCATTACTCATTTTGCAGACTTAAAGTTTTTTGTGGTTGTATTGAAAACCTGTAAGCTCTGAGGAGTGATTTTAATCTATTTGCTTCTACCTCCTCAGCTTCCTACTCAATTATATAGCTTTTAATAGCAGTTATACATAGTTGGGACAGCTTTTGGACTGATAGAGGTACACTTTTATTGTAACATATAACTTCCTAATATGGTTCTTCCTGAAGTTAAGTGTAGAGGAAAGAAGCTGGTAACTGAAGTGCAGCTTTTGTGTAGGCATAGAATTGTGTGTTTTTACTTTTTAGTGATGGATTGTTCCAGTATTCTTTGGTAGTTATGGAGGTCTATGTAAATCCTTTAGCCCTGTTAACAACAGATTTACTTATCCACTTTTGTGGAACTCTTAGAAGTTTCTTGGTGATCCCCTGGGTCCCGTTTGATGAAAATTCCCCAGGATCCAGAGGAGTTCAGGCTCAGAGACCTGAGTCAGCATCTGTGCGTAATGGAGAAACACGTATGGTGTCTTTCTTTCTTAATTTCCATACATTTGTCTTAGCTGCAGAGGCGTTGCATGCGTTTTTACATAGCGTTTTCGTAGTACTTTGATGCCTGATAATATTTAGGGCATACTAAGGATTCTCTGTTATGTTTTTTATTAATTAGTGATCAGTTGTGGGGCGGATATTGGGCTCCAGATAGAGTTAGGTGCATATGCTTCATTTTGCCTAGGGATTTCTGAAAGGTTCGTCTTGATGGTTATGATTAATCATAAATCCATTTTACATTTGTTCTCGTTTCTTGGAGAAGTCCATGCATTTTAGCTATGGCTGCTAAATCATGTTTGATTCAACTATTTTAAATTTGGTGCTAAAAGTGAACTGCTAAAAACTTCTGTGCCAATGTATGGTTAATTAACCAGTTCTGTTGCAGGGTCTGATTTGAAAAACAGTGCTGTTTTCTGTTCTATGTAGGGCTGAAAGCTACAGAATATTCAAATAATTCTTAGGTGCTGCAATAAGATTATTACCTCAAATGAGGCCCATCTGCATACAATCCCCAGGACACAGTGTTCTGACTTGGTTGGTTTTGAAATTGTTGTAGCCACATGAAGTGTATTGTGTCTGGGAAGATGAAGGATATATTAAACTAAATATTAAGAGTTTGCTAAAACAGTAATAGTGCTAGCTCAGTTACCTGAAAGGTACCTCAGTTTTCCCCACGCACAAGCTTTCTTCTTCTGCCTACCCCATTAAAAGACCTTACTATAAATGTGGGCAGGCTTCAGGTTTTTTATGACTTCCTGTTTTTTTTCAACATCTATGCCTGTGCTTAATTAGGATATTCCTCATATATTCAAAGTAGGATTTGATTGCTATAAGTAATATGCTTCCTATTTTTAATACTTATGAGCAGCTGTTACAACATTTTTTTAAATTATTATTATTTCACAGGCAAATTTAGAAAACAAACCAGTAAATGGCCGCAGACCAGAACTCATGGAATGCAGTATATGCGGTCATGGTGAAAAATACAGGGTGAAAACAAACCAAACACAACCCTTCGAAAATGCACAGTCTAAGGAGAAAGAAAGAATGACAGGCTTAGAAGCAGAGAAGTGGGCACATAACGAGAAGCCATCCTTTGGTGTCCATGTCAATGGGGATACCCATGGAACTGTGACAGGCCACGAACACTTGAGAAATGCAGAAGAAAGTGAAAGAGTGGTCTCTCCCAGTCAATTAGCTGAGCCAAAAAAATCATTTGCACAGACCATCAAAAATGGCATAAAAACCCTACATTACTTATCACCAGAAGCAGTTGCTTCACTGAAAAAAGCATCTGTAGTGGAAAGGACAGATTTGACAAGCAACTCCCATGCCCAGTGGATGAAGGCTACCAATCTGAATAACATAGTCAGCACTCTGACAACTAGTGTTAGCTGTGTTCACCCAGACAAACAAGGAAATCTTTTCATGAAAGAGGAAAACTGTACTTGCAGTGTCTTTCAGGATTCTGATAAGTCAGTACTGCAAACCAGTTCTGTTTTGGATCTGCAAGAAAGCACATGTTGTCCTCCTTTGGTTAAAGAGGAAGTGCATGGAGAGGATGGCTTCAAAGTACCTAACACAGAGACACAGCATGAGAGTCCTTCACTCCAGCCAACTTTCTTGTCCCTGATTAAAAACAGAAACCTAACTGTGGAGCAGGTTGTAGCTATTGAAGCTTTAACACAGTTATCTGAAGTCCCTTTAGGAACATCTTCCCCAGCTAAAGCTGAAAATAGTGAGTGTACAGAAGAAAGAACTTCCAACTTGCTCCATAGTTATAAAAGAGATATTTCATCCTCCTTTACGTCTTCTACATTGAAAGAAATCAATGACACTTACTTACAGAAAGAACAACAGCTCTTGACTCACTGTGCTCACTCACAAAAGCAGCTCCCAAATAAGCCAGCGTTGTACAATGGCCAAAGTTCGATTTCTGAATTGCGTGACAAACCTGCCAATCTTGCTGGTGAGATGTATAAACTGCAGTTATCCTCAGGAGATACCAAAACTTTATCCGAGTTAAGATCTAATGCAAAATCATTTTCAGGACTTAATACCAAGAAAAACTATGATCCAGTCACCCTTTCACGGTATTGCAATGTTCAACATGCAAGCAACAGCTTGGATACTCTTGGCCAGTTAGATCAAAAGCCAACCTGTGATGATTTGAACTTGGAAGCTGGTTCTTTAATTAAAGAAGGAGGAATTCACAGCCAGGATGAAGAGGATGTAGCTACACAACTAACTCAACTTGCAGCATTAATTGAATCAAACCGGGCAAATCCAGAACAGAAGAATGACATAAAGACATCGCTGCTTAATTTAATATCCCATGAGAGGCAAGCAAAACATAACCAAGATCTGCTGCAGAGAAAAGAATCTGTATTTTTTAGGCATAATTGCAGTTCCTTACTGTTAAAGCAAAAACAATCAACAAATAAAAAAGGAAATGCTGTACCATGGAAACCAAGACACAAAAAAAAGCCTCAAGAAGCACGCTATCAACAAATTAATCGAAACCAACTAGAGTTGTTGTCGTGCCAGCACAGTGAGCTACAGGACATTTGGATATCATCAAAACTGCACAAGCTTGGCCAAACCATGCCACAGGACTCCAGAATAGCTTTGTCGGAAAAAAAATCACCAAGAACCAAAGTACAGAAAGCACTGAGTCAAAGTGCGCTAACATTACAGGAAAAACCTAGGCTGTTTCTTCCTCAAACACAGATAAAGTTCCACAGATTATCTGAGGTACCGCAGGACAAAAAAAAAAGACAGATTGTTTGGCTATGAAGTGGTGAATGAGCAAATCAAAACTGCAGGCTCCAGTGACCCACCAGGCATCATTCCACTGAAAAACGATGTTGCAGCATGTAACCAATATAGTGATCTGCTCTCCCGTAATCCTCTGTCAGTTTCGCAGTTGAAAACAGCATCCTTGTTAACCAGACCAAGTGAAAACACACAGATGTTTACAGAAAAATGTAATTCTCAGGTACAGCAGGCAGTGAATGTTGGTCAGACACATCCTTTGCCTCAAACTTTTAGTCAGTCTAACCTGAGAGCTAGCGAAGCGTGCAGTGAAGATAAAGCCTATGTCCAGCAGGGTGCTGATCCGAAGTCGCAGATGCTGCCTGTTTCCTGCAGTGCGGGTCAGGTGCCAGGCACTGTGGAAGCTCTCAGGAACATGGAGTGTGCAGGTGAAGTTACCATTCTAACATCAAGAAGTTTGGGTACTGACCATCCGCAGAGCACAGGCGACTCAGGGTGTTCTCCAGCAAAAAACACACTCAGCAGTTTTCTTGAATCACCGATGAAGTTTCTCGATACTCCTACAAAAAATTTAATAGATACACCTACAAAAAAAGGACAGTCTGAATTGCCAACTTGTGACTGTGTTGGTAAGTCATCCTTTTGCTAGCTTTTACCTGTACCTCTCACATGGGCATGTGTTTGTGTTGCTCCCCTTAATGCAAGAAAGTATACTTGGTGCATAGGTGTTGCAAAAAGATACTTGTTTTGCTGTTAGGAACTAGAAGAAAATGATTCTTTCCCTTTCTGTAACCTTTGCCTGGTGTTCTTCAGGCCTGCAAATAACAGCAAAATTCAGTATTTTTGGCCTTGCATCTGACCTGCTTAAATTGAAATTGAGGAAAATGAGTTTTTCCAGTTGTTTTCTTGTTACTCGCTTGTATGCTTGTAATTTCATGTGAGTATATTAGATCAGGATTTCTATGGTCTCAAACTAGTTTCTGCTTGAGATGAGCTGGGCAAAAACTTTCCCAATACCTTTTCATTTTTACCTAAATGCCTTCTGGCTAAGCAGCAGGGAATTGTTGAGGGCAGTTGTGTTACTGTCATGGTTTGCCCTGAGGGTGGTGGGAGTTTCTGTTATGATTCCTGTCAAAGGCTTTTAGATGTCTCATCTCAGAGATAAGATGAGGTGGAGATTAGGTAATAAATCCAGATACAGAACAGTTTGTGTTGTAGCATGAGGTGTCGGATTGAACTTGATGCTGAGAATTTTGCAATACAACTTGATTGATGGTATTGGACATGCTGTGTTTTCAAACTATCAAAGCACACAGATGGGGAAGAAAAAAACCACTGCAGGGACTGTTAACATTGTACACAGGAAGATTTTTTCATCTTTGCTCTAATGTTCTGAAGCAACAAGCTGTTAGTTAAGAGGCCTGGATTGTGTTTTTTGTTCTGTAGTAGTATATGACTGTCAGCTGATGTTTTTTGGCCTCAATTCTCCGTTGTCTAAAATTAATTGATAATGTTTGCCTACTCACAACGGCACTGGAAGCTTATTTAGTCAATATGTGTCAGGTCCTGCAATGAACATTGGTAAAGAATGCAAGATAGTATTATAAATAGGATCTATTTGTAGCACCAAGAAAGAGAATCTACCAGAAGATTAATAGGAGAAAGCAAGCATGAAATAGTATAATTTTGATGTCTCTGAGGGGAAAAATCAATCATGCTACTTATTCATTGCATTTCAGGGGCAGATTTTCTGTATTTAAGATGATGTTTCTGTAAACCATTTCTGTGCTGATTTGTAGTAATGTAAATGAGAAATGATGTGTGAACTTATTTTTCTCAACCTGTTTGTAGAGCAAATTATTGAGAAAGATGAGGGCCCATATTACACACACCTTGGGACAGGACCAAGCGTTGCTGCTGTGAGAGAAATAATGGAGAACAGGTGAGAAAATGTGCTTTTTAGTGCTAACAGTATTTTTGTGTAAACAGAAAAGAAGAAGAGCTGTGAGAAAATGAGTGCTGTTTGGCTTTGTTTTTCTAATACTTTTGCTCTACTCATTTGTAAAACATTTTCCTGTTCTGATGTGCTTGAGGGAAGCTCTCACATTCTAATTCCAAATTCATGCATCTTGTCTGAGCTCCAGCAATTTTAGCCAGTGTGCTCATAGGTGCTGTTGAAGTCCATAGTGATGACAGAGATTAGCAGCTGGCAGGAGTAGGCTTTCTGGTATCCTGCATGCAAACAACCTGTCTCGAATTGGACAGAAAGTGACTAAGTGCTCTAGGATTTTCAAGCAGATAACATTTCTTTTCCAAGTAATGGAAGCCACTTAGTGACAGAAGCCTGTTACTGGAATAGATGTTTCAAAATGGCTTTTGCGAACAGGACTTTGAATTTAGTAGTGTTCTTTGTTGTGCTATGTTTTTTTTTTCTCTTCTGTTCTCAATAAAGTTGAGAATAAAATTGTTGTTCTTGCTTTATTGAATGTGTTTACTGTTTTAAAATGTGTTTTCAGTTCCACTCCTGAACTTTCTTAATGCAGGTATGGAGCAAAAGGAAGCGCTGTGAGAATAGAGGTAGTCGTTTATACAGGAAAGGAAGGAAAAAGCTCTCAGGGGTGTCCGATTGCCAAGTGGGTAAGTTTTTATGTTACAGTAGTCAAATTGGTTTTTGTGGCTTTGAAGTATCTAATGATGTATAGTCTTTGAGCTTATATATAATCTGGTCTTTAATCAAGGTCTGTTTCTTCTTCATTTAATTGATTTACAAGTCTCAGTGAATGAAGAAGCTAAGAATACCACTTTTTAACCTGTGATGCTGTGATTAGAGTGAGTTTAAAAGAGGTGCTTCACAGAGCTGGCAGAGATGGGCAAATCAAGGGTGAGAACACCTGGCAGTGTCTGGAAGCTGGAGGTCTCGTGAAGTAGGCTACTGAGAAGTGTGAAAGAAGAGTGTGTTGGAAAACCTTTCAGTAACTTCTTTTTTTAAAACTTAATTGTATGAACTGTCTCATATACCATGTGCTACTCACTTTGAGGGACTGAACTCACTATTTCAAAACATAAATGTTATGGTGATAGTTTTCACCAAAGTTTTGTCTCACATTGCTTCATAGGAGCCAGGAAATGAGGTAGCAGACAAGCTCCAGGAAAGAGCTTGGAAAGAATTGATTGTCCCTTATCTTTGCTGAAACCACTGAGGGAGGTAAAAAATAGTCTGGAAATCTTGTACACTGAGTTTTGGAAATAAAAAGAATTTGCTTGTTGGAATATATATAAATTGTTGCTGTATTTAGGAATTTCGGACTTAACTGGCTAATCTGATGATAATAACTGTGCAGTTGGTAGACCAGCATTTGTAACTATGTAACTAAAATAAGGATGTGAATGTGTATTTATTGCATGTGTAATTACTGCTTATATTCTTGGAACAGTTAAATGTGTTTTTCGTACTCCATCCAGAAAATGATGCTCAGAAAAGAATCTCCTATGTGTAAGTTGCTTCAGGTGATATTTAATACCAAATAGGCATCCAATAAAAAAAAAATAAAGATGGTCAAATTTCAGAAATGACCGTCCCAAAAAAGTGGACTGTTTTCTGCTTTGTTGATTTTGTTTTTATCACTTCAACTAAGCAAAAAATCCACACTTTTCAGAGAGGTTAGGAGTTAAAATTCTTACCTTAGCAAACAGTTGTGAGCCTTTGAAAGAAGGAAGAGATTTAAAACTAGTTCTTAAAGTTTATTTTGCTGTTGCCAGTATCAACATACTGCCTTTTACGTAAAACAGAGATGATAGATTCCATTGTGCATCTGCGTGGTGTAGGTGTCCAACATGTGTGTGCAGTACGACTGCCAGAAAGCACTCAGTGCATATAGGAAAGGCTGTTTAAGGATTACGGTACAGTTCAGTTAAATTTCTACATGCCAAGCATTTGTGAGAGAAAGCTTTAATGTTAATTGAACTAAATTCCAAATGTCTTTTGTGCAGCAAAAAACTTTTTGTGTGCAAGCTCAGACCTAAAAGGAATGAATGCCTTTCCAAGCCTGCTGTGTGACTGCATGATACAAGAGAAGGAAGGAAATCATGGAAATCTTCTCTATGTTTCGTCCTGTATACAATCCACATTTTTTTAGTTGGTATTTTTAATGTGTGAGTTAACTTCCGATTGGCAGTGCTAATATTAATCCTTAAAATGGAGCATATTTCTGTTTTGGCTGTGACCAAAGTAGTACCATTCTGAAATTTGGAAGCATATGGAACAAGTTTGTTCTGCTCTCAGATAATTGCAGTCACAAGGTTTGGTCAGCTGCACAGAGACTTTCACTTGCTCGTTACAGAGCTCTCTGGGACAGATTCATTTCTGCTTTGCAGATGGACTAGCTGTTGCCCCTAGGGCTCTTGAGAGGCTTGCTGGCAAGAGCACCATGATGGAGCTCTGCTGAAGCAAACGTGAGGAGGAAAAAAATTGATATAGAGTCGTATTTAGCTATTTTACTCCAGTAATTTTCCCTTTTGCTGTGAGTCTATGTTGTTGTTTATCAATTCATTAGAAACATCTTGGAATCAAAGGCTGCTTTATAAAATGTGTATATATGTATGTATTATTCCATATATATTATGTATATATTTGTACGTACAATGTATGTATATAATATACATATTATATATAATATAAGAATATATATATATATTCTTCTGTTAATGGCTGTGTTTCACAATACTCATTTCCTCCTAAATTGTTTTCACCTAGGTGGCTCCAAACATGTACGTAGTGTATTAAACACTGAATGAGACAGGCTTCTTTTTTCTAAAACGAGCTGGCTTTTCCTTAGTTTTTGGGGTATAATAAACTTACAATATCTACGTAGGTGATAACTGTGTGATTAGAAAATAACAATCGTTCTGTGACGTGTGCTAGGGGGTTGTCTTTCGTTCTTTGTTTTTTTAAAATCTCTTTTGCTTTTTTATTTTGTGCAAGTCTATCCTATTTCTGCTTAATAAGTTAAAGGAAAAAGAGCTTTGAAACAGTGGGATTGCCAACCCATCTTCCTTGATTAGACTTTTCATATGATCATGTTACAGTGCCTCCCCTATCACCGGACAGCGGTGAGTGATTTATGTCATTCCCATTGCTTTATCAGTACTTTGTTTGTACTCTCCTTTTTTTTCTTTTTTTTTTTTTTTTTTTTTTATTTCTGCTCTCAATATATCTGATGGGAAATAAAGATTACCTCAATTCATTGAAGTGAAATGGTTCATAAATCTTCTATCTGTATGATGTTCATAAGTAGCTCACTCTAGGTATGATCCTGCTGCACTGAATTCAAAGATGAAGTCAGTGACCTCAGAGGACAGCTACAGGTCTTAACATTGCAGGATTAAACTCGTTTCCTTCAGGTTTCTTCTACTTGTTTCAGCGGATGTTGACCTGGATCAGCTTTCTGTTGTCTTCATTCAGAATTGCGATGCAATTTCTAAGGCTCAGAGTTGGAATAAAGACAGGAGATGAGAACTGATAAGAGCAGCCAGGTTGGGTGGGAGGTCCTCCCTGCTGACAGCCTGTCTCCAGTGCTGACTGATGGCGGAAGAGCAGGGCAGCCGGCTCCCAGGAGACTCACTTATTTTCCAGTAACTCATTCCTCTGAGGTTCCCTAAGCTGAAGGCAGTGGCTTGATATTCCCTGTCATAGATGGTTTTGTCTTTATTTCTTCTTTCTTTTCTTTTTTTGCTCTCTTGTACTTGGAACTATAGTGGTGGTGTAGTAATGCTTTCAGTCTTGTGCTCTGTTCCCAGCAGTTCCTAGCTGTTTCTTTTGCTTTTCTTTCTGTTGCAAAGCAGTGATTTCTATCGTTCTGCAAAATTCTCATTTCTGCACAGTAATGGCTGACCATGTGCATTAACAATGGACACTGCAGTGAATTTTATCTGCCGTTCTTACTGCCCCCTCGGCAGTATGAACTCATCCTTCATTTATTTGCAGATTGTGCTTGTCTTTTCCCTGAATTACTCATCAACTTTTGTCATGCTTTTATTTACCTTTGACAAACACAGAGGAGAATACAAACTTGAACAGAATTGTGCAGAGCTCCCATCAGACACATACCAGCCTTTGTTTCTTGTCTTTTCAGCAGTTATTCACATATGGTCGTTTCCTTTGTACCAAGGCATATTCATGTTTGCTTTTTTTTTTTTTTTTTTAAGAGTCTTTACTAAGGGACCTCACTGAGTGCCTTCTGAGAATCTAGAAAGCCATGCAGTATGGCCAAAAGATTCACAAACGTTTGGTGTCTCTGTGCATCATGCTTATCTACGTGATTGCTGGTTTGTGCCACAGAGCTCAGATCTGCTCCGCACGGACAAAACGGGGCTGATGTTATCGTTGAACTGGGATATTCCTCCTAGGACCATTTTCCAAACTGTTATCCTCTTAGTAATCTTCAAGCCTTCTGATACTGATGTATTATAAACCAAGACTATGCATATTGGATTTGAAAGTTCAGTTGTTTCACCACTGAGTTTCTGGGGTGGATGCCATCTGATCTTGGAAATCGTGACTATGTTTTGGGAAGTGTTCTTTTTCTTCTGCCACTACTGTCCTATGACTGCTTCTTTGGTGGCTTTTAACTTTGTGAGGGGCACAGCCAAAGCTTTTTTTTTCTGAAGTGGGAATCCTCTGAGACGGCTTTTTGTGAACACAGCAAAAGTGGTTTTTGCACCTCTGGATTTATCTTCCCTGAGTGCTTTGGTTTTTTGTTTTACACCTGGATGATCTGTTGACCCCCCAGATTCTGTTAGCCTGCTGGTGGCTGTAATTTGTTTGAGAAATGTGGTACAGTGCAGCTTCTATGCCTTTCTCAAACTCTTTCACTTCAATTTTGTTCTGGTTCCCTTTTTGGGCTTTCTACTTATAACTTAACAGAGCTTAGTGGTCTTTTTTATAGCAGCAGTATATCTATTAAAAAAAAAAAAGGGAAGGCAACAGATTAAAAAGAAGAAATTACAGATGCTTTTGCAATGTAAATATAGCTAGAAATATAGAATCCTTAGAGTTGGAAAGGTCCTTTGAGGCCATCTAGTCCAACTGCCCTTGAAGTGACAGCCTTCTTTTAAGGACCTGGACTTAATATTAGCCACTGAAATTGATCAGATTTTCAAGAAGTGATGCTTAGACAGTGCACTCTTAAAACAAAGGCTTTACAGATCATTGACCTGGTAGGAATTTGTGCCTGAATACTAGAAACTACGTTTTGTAGAGTGCTCTGAGCTTCTGTTAACAGTTGATTCTCTGCAGAAAAGTGTGTTTGTTTTTTCAGTTTGCTAGCTTGGCTTCAGTTGAGAAAGAGATTGGGAATAGAGAAAATAAGAAAACTGAGAAGATACTTGAGCTTCTAGGCTGTCTTACGTGTAAGTTAGGGTTAGAAGGGATGTACAATTTATTAAAGAAAATTTAGTGATAAATGTGTGAAATACTGTGCTCTGGCATAGGTGGCCATTACTAATCAACACTATCAAAGGACTGCTTTATGTGGAGCCCAGCACCTCTAGGCAGGTTTTATTATTTCAAGGTTTTGTTTCATATGTTAAACTCTCTCTGTGATCAGATGGTGATCCACATTTGAGAAATCTGGAAGGAA